GCCTTAGCGGCCAATAGCTGTATGAGTCAGAAGAAGCGTATAGATCCAGTAGGCCTGGAACAAGAGGCAGAGGTGAAGCCCAGAGTTGATAGACCTTTACCCAGTCCCTAAAACCAGCACTCTGAATTCAGACTTCTAGCTTCCTGAGCTTGTAAGAGAATAGATGTCTGTTTGTTAAAGCCATCCACTTGTGGGATTTCTGTTATAACAGCAGTAGAGAACCAAAACAGTTACCTATCTCTGTCATTCTCTGTGTGTAATTCTCTGTGTTCATCTTCTAGATATCTAACTGCTGTCTTTGTATAATTTCTGATTGTCTATTTTGTCCTTTTGTTCTTGTATGATTTTCCTGGGTTCCTCAAGAATATTATCTGTTTTTTCCTTCTGTTGATGGTTTCATTGAGCTCTCTCGGAAGGTTTATATATTGTTGTTGTTGCTGTTATGTGCCGTCGAGTTGGCCCCGACTCATAGCGACCCTTCCTTGGGTTTCCGAGGCAGTATCACTACGGAAGTAGGATTGCCCAGCCTTCCTTCCGAGGAGTGGCTGGTGGGTTTGAACCGCCAGCCTTCTGGTTAGCAGTCAAGTGCTTTAGCCACTATGCTACCAGAGCTCCTGGTTTATATATATAAATACATAATTTTTAAAAAAAGTTTATTTCTCAAGTAGTTTTATTACCTGTTCTTCCTCAGAGAGATTTTTCTTTATTTTGGTTATTTCCTTCCACAGTGTTGTCCTGTTTGTTTGAATTGAAGTTGTCTGTTGTCTCTGAGACATTTTGAAGTTGTTATTATTAGTTGATTGTGTGTTGGTTTGTTTCAGCACAGCAGGTGTGCTTCTTTGACTGTTAACTTGGCAGCACTGAGGTGCTCCCCATTTATCTCTGGATTGGTGGAATAATTGATGGGAATATGGGTGCAGGTCTTTTTTTGATGTGAAGAATAGCTGCAGTTGGAATGAGCAGGTATTGTCCATTGTGTGTTTTTGATCCAGTGGTGTAGGAGTTAATAGTGGTGCTTGTTTGTTGGGTGAGGTGGTTGGTGCAGCAGAAATGGCTGATCAGTGGAGCGTTAACGTCCTCCTCCTGTTAGATGGGGCAAGAAAAGAAAGGAAAAAAAAAAAACCTCGTGGAGAAAATGATAGAATAAAAATGAAAGGTAAAAAATAGAGAAAAAGAAAAAGGGCAGGTGGTGGAGATAAAAGAGTGAAAAAAATATAAGAAGATGAAGAAGAAGGAGAAATAAATGGGTAAAAAAGGAAAAAAAGTGGGAAAGAAGGAAGGAGGAAAATAAGGGAAACTGAGTAAGAGGGACTTTTGTAATTATGGCCAGCCAGCAGCAATGGGGGAGCAAGCGAGTGTAGCAGAAACCACTGATCCACTAGCGTGTGTGTCTGTGGAGATGAAAGGAGCCTGGCACAAGCAGGTTTCTCCAGTAGAAAAAAGCTGCAGGTATTTGCCTGTTGTGCTCAGTGTGAGAAGGGTCAACCAGTGATGTATGCAGAGGGAGGGATAGCCACAGCCTCTGGGTCTTTCTCTTTGGAATGGGTTGCTGTGGGTGGCTAGAGGACTTCCTTGGCCTCTGACTTGCTTGTGGTGGGAAGAAGTTTGGCCCCTATTCCCAGAGAAGCTTTCCTTTTTGGAGCAGAGAGTGTGGCTCACCAGTCTTGATTCACTAGCATGGGTCTGGCACACTTCTGGGCAGACCCAACTCCTGTCTAAACTCTAGTGAAATGCCGCCCTGAGGCTATCTTTAACTATCCCAACATAGGCCTTTTAGTTCAGAGATGGGAGGTAGTTGGTGTGAGTAACCCCCTGAGAGAAGAGGCGGCAGAGTTGTGCCTCTTGTTTTAGTATGAGAAAATTCTCTCAATCTTCTAGGCACCCAGTGGGCGTGTTTCAGCCCCTGACTCAGGCTATTAGAGGTGGAGGTGTCCAGGGGTTGGGGTTGGTGAGTGCTGGACTTCACTATTCACTGAGTGTCTGGCTGCAGAAAGAGTATTGATCCCTGTGCTCAGGGAAGGTGTGTGATTATTAAATCAGAGAGTGTGTCTTTCCTATCTGGATTTCTTGGCTTGGGTGTGTCACCCTTCTGGGTTCACACACCCATTTGTCCCACTCCTGCCCAGATTCAGTGGAGCAAGTTACTGTCTGGAGCCCAGTTTCTTCAACTGCCTCAACTCAGGCTCATTGCCAGCCCAGACCTGGTTTCTGCAATGTGAGTTGATTCCCTTTCTTACTCTCTCCTCTCTCCGTGGCTGCTTATGCCACTTGTAACTCTGACCCAATTCCCTGCACATTTCTCTCCTACCTCCCACACCTTGAATTTCTCCCAGTCTGTCTACACTGTATGTCATCACTGAGTAGATTCCGTGAAGTTCCTCCCACACACACCTGGTCAGCATCTGTGTCTCTATTCAGGATGTCCCTGTTTCACATGGTCTGGCCTCTTCTCCCTTCCCAGACACTAGTCTTGCTCCATTTCTTTTTCCAGTCACCACTCAGTGTAATTCTTGATCTTGTTTGATGCTCTGAATTCCAGGATTATTACTTGTATCTGTTTCTCTCAGATTTCAGGATGTTATTGTAGAGGGATTGGTGGAATGTGTTAGCAGGATGCCATCTTGTCTCTGCCCCCAATTTCAATTTTTTAAAATTATTCTTTCGTTCACGCACTCAAATCACTCAAATCAGACTGTATTAAATGTCAAGAACTGTGCTTAGTCCTGGGAATGAAAAAGAGTAAGATATTGTTCCATCAGGGACTTAAGCTTATAAACCAGTGATAGAGGAAGATCCATAAACAAATCAATAAGGAATTAATCATGCTTTGACTTTATTGGTATTATTTGGAGTTTTACAATAAGAATATATTCATGCACTATACTTTTGCTTAAAAGTACAATAGATATTTAAGAAATATTTAATGATGTGTTGTTGTTGTTGCTGCTATGTGCCATCAAGTCGGACCCGACTCATAGCGACCCCTCCTTGGGTTTCCAAGGCAGTATCACTACGGAAGTAGATTGCCCCATCTTCCTTCCGAGGAGTAGCTGGTGGTTCAAACCAGTGCCTTAGGCACTACGCTACCAGAGCTCCCATTTAATAGTGTAAGAAGTCCATATTGTTGTCATTAGCTGCTGTCAAGTTGGCCCCAGACTCATGGTGACCCCATACTCAACTGAATGAAACCACCAGTCCTGCACCATTCCCGTGATCTTTTGCAGATGGAGATAGAATTTAAGAAAGACCATCAACAAGCTGAATTAGCTATAGCAGTGGGCTCAAACATAGCTACTATTGTCAGGATAGCCAGGGACTAAGCAGTGTTTCATTCTGTTATATACAAGGTTGCTATGAGTCAGAACCAACTTGACAGCACTTAACAACAACAGTATGGATTCTATATAAGTAATAATGGCATTAATCTTCTGTCATTTTCTTCTATTATGTTGTTATGTGACGTCACGGTGGACCTGACTCATAGCGACCCCTCTTTGGGTGTCTGAGGCAGTATCGCTACGGAAGTAGATTGCCTAACCTTCCTTCCGAGGTGTGGCTGGTGGGTTTGAACCGCCAGCCTTTTGGTTAGCAGTCAAGTGCTTTAGGCACTACGCTACCAGAGCTCCTTTACCAAGCATAGCAATGTATAAATTATTTATACAGTCAACACTCTGGAGATATTTGTCTTCTCAAAGAACTTGTTAATGCAAATGAACTTCTGTGTGTTTTAATGCCTAGTAATATTTATTAGGACTCTGGGTGCTGCAAACATTTGGAGGTTTGAGTCTACCCAGATGTTCTGGTTACCTAGTGCAACTCTGACAGAAATACACCACAAATGGGCTGGCCTTAATGAACAGGAGTTTATTTGCTTACAGTTTGGAGGCTTTAAGTCCAAGTTCAAAGTGCTAGGCTCTAGGGACTAGGTGAAAGCCCCTCAACCTTGTGGTCCAGCTCTGCCTCCTGCTCCCAACCCACTGGAGCTAGAGGCGTTTCTTCACTCAGACAGCTGCTGGTTGCTGAGGCTGGGAAGCCCGAAGTTGACAAGTAAAAAGGCACAGTCCCAATGTTACCAAACCACATGGCAGGCCATTAATTTAAGTTCATTGTAAGTCCCAAGGTCAGCACAGCATAGTAGGCTGCTGAACAACGACATGGCTACATGCAGGGTCCAAGCGTGCTGTAGGATAGAGACCATTCCCAAAGCTGCTGCTTATATACAGGAAGCAGACCACATACCCAAAGCAGTTACTTAGCTGCTTGTGGTAGATCCCACCATGGAGTTGATCGCCAGTCTCATCATGGGGAATAACTACCACCAGCTGCCCAGCCACTCAACCACGCCCAGCCACGTTGACAAAACATAACTGCCACACCAGAGATGCCTGGAAAGAAAGGCCTGACAGTCTACTTACAAAAATCAGCCATTGAAAACCATGTGGAGCACAGTTCTGCTCTGACATATGTTGGGTCACATGAGTTGGAATTAGCGTGAAGGCAACTGGTTTCTTGTTTGTTTTGATATTTATAGAGGTATGTATACTCCCCTTTCTAGAGGAGGTTAATAACTTAGAGTGGGCTTTGTTACGGATTAAGGTCCTGCCTCTCTTGTTTTTCCATCCCATCTACTCTTCAGGTCACATCCTCAGGCAGGAGTTTCTGAATGGAAAGACAAACGGTTTGCTTCCTTTGCATCCTCAGTGCTATAATTTGCTTCTGTAGGACTTCCTTAGTTGCATCATGATCACTGTTTACCAATGGGGGTCAAGAAAACCTTCTATTAATCAGGAGCCCTGAAAATGGTACACAAAAGCACTGTAGTTTAATAATAGTGAGTAACATTTATTCAGGGCTTACTATGAACTTAGTGCTTCCATTGTTCTATCCCAGTTAATCTTCACTACCACTCTATGAAGTCAGTACTGATAAATCTCAAGTATATCCAAAATAAAGTCTGTGCCAGATTGTGATACCTGTGGCCCTGCCTCTTGTGTCTTTAGGTTCATCTCGGCACCAATCATAAAGCCATTCAACATCAGGCCCCTGCCCTAAATGGCTCTCGATGCCAAGAACTTGCAAATTACTACTTCGGTTTTAATGGATGGTCAAAAAGAATTATTAAGGTAAACCTTGTAGATTTTCTTTAAGTAAGCAGACTTTCAGTCCTGAAATTCTCGACTTAAAGATAGATTGAACTGGGTTACAAAGATGAGGCAGTAAGTAGAAGAATCTGAGTGTTGGCCTGCCACCTAGAATTAATCTGTAATCTCAGTGACTTGGGTGGTAGTGTCCATAATTTTTTTCAGTGTTTGTATGGTATATGAGAAGAAATGATTGTCCAAATCTAGAAATTCATTTGCAATTCTTACCTAATTTTGAAACTATCGGACGCTTCAACTATGAGCTGGGATTGCTGGAGTTTAATTTTTTTTTCTCGTAAGGAAAGATTTTGAAGTCTACATTGAGATCCTAAGAACTTTTAATTCAAAATCCTCACAGCTTCAGGATCTCTCTGACCTTGAAGAAAGTGAAAATGAAGATACAGCAGCAGCTCAGATGCAAAGCCTGAAGTTCTTCTGTGCTCTAGAGGTGGTGTTGCCAGCCTATGAGTGCAGGAGTCCTGGAGTTGGCATGGCAGAGGAGCCTTTAAATAAGCAGGAAGAAGGTCTGTTTCCAAGTGAGGGTGAAGGTGGGGAGAGGAAGGGAGTTTTCTTTCTAAAACACTTCTTGATAAACTCCTAAAGCCCTGGGCAGAGTTGTTTAGCCTTATAGTACAAATTTTTACCCTGATCTTTAGGCAGAACCTTTCACTTTAAAATTATAGTGCTGATCTCCTGCCAAAAAAATGGAGGAGGAAGAGAGTAATGTTTTTCCCACTTTTGGTTAAGAACTTGCTTTATGTTAAATGGAGCTCTGGTGGCACAGTGCCTAAGGCATCTGACTGCTAACCAGAAGGTTGGTGGTTCAAACCCAGCAGCCACTCCATGGAAGGAAGACTGGGCAATCTACTTCCATAAAGATTTACTGCCTTGGAAATCTGTGGGGTCGCTGTGAGTCAGAATTGACTTGATGGCAGTGGGTTTGGTTTTTTGGTTTATGTTAAATGCAGATTTTTTTTGATACTTTTTTTAAGAGCTTGTTTTACATTCAACGTTATGTGTACATTTAGTTTCACTCCCCATTTACCATGACCAACCCTAACCCAGTCTCCTCCCCTCCCTACCCTGTAGCCTTCCCCCTGTGCCCCTCATATTTATGCACTCCTATTTGTCCTGCATTTCCTCAACCTGAATGTTGGTCCTCTGGTGCCCTGTGGGCCATTGCTCAGGGATGTATTACCATAGAGTATATGGGTGCATCATCCTGGGTTGAGTGGTCTGCATGTACATCTTGTTAACTATTGGGCTGAGAGCCAGCCCCTGGGGGTGAATTTTATTCCAGGTGCAGAATGTATTCAGGGCCATAGTATTGGGGGTCTCATCAGACTTCCTCTGACCAGTAATTCTGGTCATTATTGAGTTTTTGGATTTCATTCCACGTTTTCCCTCCCACTATATCCCGGATCTCCAGCTTTGATCCTTTCCTGAGTGTTTGGCATTGTTAGCTGGGCACTATCTAGTTCTGGTCTCGAGGGCCATTGTGTCCTATGGCTGATTGCTTCCAAATGCCCTTGTTTTTTTTTGTTTGTTTGTTTTTTTGCAATCCTCTTCTCTTCTGATGCTAGGAGACTGTTAGCTGCATCATAGATGGCCGCTTGAAAACTTTTAAGACCCCAGTTGCTACTCACCTATGTAGGATGTGGAACAAGGCTTTTATGTATTTTGTTGTGCCAGTTGAGTCTGGTGTCCCCCAGTACTATGGTCCTGAGATGGTAGATCCATTGGATCCCTCTCCCATAGTGTCTGGGTGTCTGTGATGGATTACTCTTTGTCTGTCTTCTATTGTTTCTGTAATGATTGCAGGTATTTTGTATCACTGGTGTCTGTGTAAGATTAGCCTCAGCTGAATCTATCCTTGGTCTAGAGTATGCTCCTATTCACTGACTCCCATCTGATCCTCTCAGGTGTTTTTGTGTTTATCTGTAGCCTGGTGTTTGGTGTCAATGGTAATGTAGTATTGTGGACACAGTGGTTGGTATTAGCATCTGTCGTCTATCTCTATGTACAATTCGGCGTCCTCCCATTTCTTAATGTTATCATGGTGGTCACAGACCCTTTCTGTATAGCCCTCCCCTTACCCACATCAGCATGTGGGCCCCAACTAGCCTGAAATTAGTCCCTCCCTTTCCCTCCCCACCCTAGTAACCTACAAAGTTGAGTTCCGTGTCCCAAGCAAACCCTTCTTTGTCTTTTTACAGTAATGGGCTCACGTAGTACTTGTCTTTCTGTGATTGGCTTATTTCACTCAGCATAATGTCCTCCAGGTTCATCCACATTGTGAGATGATTAGTGTATCCCTCATTGTTCTTTAATGTAGCATATATTGCATTGTGTCCACGTACCGTAATTTGGTTATTCACTCATCTGTTGATGGGCATTTGTTTCGATCTCTCTGCTATATAGTTAAATGCAGATCTCTAATAGTCTTCAATTCTCCCAGTAAAACCATCATCTGAATATCTGAATACATCTCAAGTAAGCATTAAAACCTTGGCTTTTTCATGGAAGGACATGAGTGGAAAGAGACTTAAATACAGATACCTGGAAAGAGTATTCTGATTGGTACTGATTTTGTTCTAGACTGCATGGTATTCAGGTGTAGGGTTTTAAGTCAGCAGGGCTGTTAATGAGTAATGTGGAGTAGGCTCCCATGGGTAATACCCAGGGAGAGGCCTGATTTTGTGCATTGCCACCAAACCATTCTCAATGTATGATTCCAGTCATTGTTGGATGGGAAGGTAAGGAGGCTCTGTTGGAGAGGAGCTTCAACTTTTCACTTTGAAATCTGTGTGGTATGTGAAACTTGTGCCAAGTACCTAGCTTGTATCTCCTTTCTATTACTTCAGGGGCTTCCAGAATGGAGGGGGCAGTAAAAATGTGCTCTACCTGCCAGGATGTACCTACACAGAGCCATTCAACCCTATCCTGGTGCTATGTCTGCCCTTAATCACTAAGATAATGATATAAGAGTTATGAATATATTTTTATTTTTTCAAACATGACATAAAAATTATCCTTTGGATTACTGTTGTTGTTAGGTGCTATTGAGTCATCTCTGACTCATATTAACCTTACGTACAACAGAACGAAATGCTGCCTGGTCCTATGTCAGCCTCATAATCGCTACTGTACCTGAGCCCATTGCTGCAGCCACTGTGTCAATCCATCTGGTTGAGGGTCTTCCCTTTTTTCGTTGACCTCCCACTTTACCAAGTACAACATCCTTTTCCAGAGAATGGTCCCTTGAAACGACATGACCAAAATAGGTGAGACGAAGTCTGGCCATTGTTGCTTCCAAGGAGCATTCTGGCTGCACTTCGTCCAGGACAGATTTGTTAGTTCTTTAGCAGTCCTCAGTAGTTTCAGCATTTTTTGCCAACACCACAACTCAAAAGCATCAGCTCTTCTTCAGTCTTCCTTACTCATTGTCTGGCTCTCATTTGCATACGAGGTGATTAAAAATACCATGGCTTGGATTAGGCACATCTGAGTCTTCAAGGAGATATCTTTGTTCTTCAGTGCTTGAAAGAGGTCTTTTGAAACAGATTTGCCCAATGCAATATGTCTTTTGATGTCCTGACTACTGCTTCCATTGGCATTGATTGCAGAATCGAGTAATGTGAAGTCTTTGACAATTTCAATCTTTTCTCCATTTATCATGATGCTGCTTATTGGTCCAGTTGTGATGATTTTCGTTTTCTTTATATTGAGGTATAATCCATACTGCAGACTGTAGTCTTTAATATTTGTCAGAAAGTGCTCCAAGTCATCCTCACTTTCAGCAAGCAAAGTTGTGTCATTTGCATCTCTCAGGCTGTGAATGGGCCTTCCTCCAATCCTGATGCCATGTTCTTATAGTCCAGCCTCTCGGATTAGTTTCTCAGCATACAGATTGAAAAAGTATGGTGAAAAGATACAACCCTGATGCACTCCTTTCCTGATTTTAAAGCATGCAGTATTCCCTTGTTCTGTTTGAACAGCTTCCTAGTCTGCATACAGGTTCCTCATTAGTATAATTAAGTGTTCCTGAATTCCCAGTCTTCTCAATGTTATCCACAGTTTGTTATGATCCACACAATCAAATGCCTTTGCATAGTCAATAAAACACAGGTAAACACCTTTCTGTATTCCTTGCTCTGAGCCAGTATCCATCTGACATAAACTATTGATGTCCCTCGCTCCACATCCCTTTCTGACTCCAGCTTGCATTTCTGGAAATTTTCTGTCAATATACTGCTGCAACCATTTTTGAATTATCTTCAGTAAGATTTTACTTGCATGTGATATCAATGATATGGTTTGATAATTTCCACATTCTGTGGGATCACCTTTCTTTGAAATGGGTACAGATATGGATCTCTTCCAGTCAGTTGACTTCCTGTCTCTTCCAGCCAGGTAGCTGTCTTCCAAATCTCTTCGCATAGCTGAGTGAGTGCCTTCAGGGCAGCATCCATTTGTTGAAATACCTTAATGGGTATTCTGTCAGTTCCTGGAGCCTTGTTTTTTGCCAGTTCCTTCAGTGCAGATTCAACTTTTTCCTTCAGTACCATTGGTTCTTGAGCATATGCCACCTGCTGAAATGGATGATCATCTACCAATTCTTCTTCTTTTTTTTAAATGCATTTTATTGAAATAAAATTTATGTACAGTGAAATACACAAAACTAAAGTGACATGGGTCAATGCCTTTTTTTTTTTTTT